CTCCTCATTGTGCTAACTTCACATCGATAAAGTTTTGGATGGCCAATATTCGTGCAAAAAAGCATTGCAAAGTGACTCATTACTCATCCGACACTTGTCAGCAAAGATAAGAAGGTGGCTGTAAGCGTCTTTCATTTGCTATCTATTTAGCTGATAACTGACATAAACTAATGAATTCCCAAGCTGAAATACGGTCGATATTTGTCTTGTTGGGTGTTGATTTGGACGAATTAAATCAAATCGAAAAAAAAGTTCTCAGACTCGAGCAAGCAGTCAATGAAGATGATATTGATGAACGTGCAGGTTCCTTGGCAGAAGCAATCGAAAAGTTGTTTGCTTCACAATTCAACAAAATGGCTGCGATTAGTGTACAACAACGGTCTAAATTCTACAAGTATTTTATGCAACGTCTCGAGTCTCAGCAATGTCACACGTCCATACAACAGAACAGCAAGCTCAATACTCAGTTGCACTGTCTAGATTTGTTTTGCGGAATAGACTTCACAAGGAAGCCTTTATCATTTGCTCCAGACGCTCTGAAACAATGGCGTATTTGGGAACCAGATGCAGATAAATTACTTGATTTAATAAAGGCAATAAGAAACAAAGCCGACGCTCAAAGTGTTTTTGTAGAAGAAGATGAGGAGCTTAGTAAGCGTCGAGCTAACATCGTTCTTACGTGTATGGGTCGGCTAAAATCCGGCAAAAGCAGTTTTATCAATTATCTCCTTGAGAGAAACGTGTGCCCTGTTGGTAATGAAGCGACAACTGCTCGTCTTACAATGATTAGGTATGGCGAACAAACATCCGTCGAATTGTGTGCAGCCGATGGTACTAGAAAAGACTACATTATCATTAGAGATGACACACATTTAGCTGAGACCACCAGAAATCTGATACATTTAAAGGGAAATGATTGAGAGAACAAGAACTTGTGCACAGACAAAATTATAATCGAACTCCAGATGGAAGCATTGAAACATATTCAACTATGGGATATTCCAGGCGTTGATGAAAATGACACTCTCGATCAAATTGTAGATGATATTCTTGCTGACAGTGATATAATTTTTGCAATTACACCTCTCACCGGTGGCTTGCCAGACAGTTTTCTTACGCCCATAAAGCGATTGCTGAGACCGACACAGGATGAACTAGTTGAAAGAGTACTTACAGCTCAAGATACACTGGTTATAAATTCAAGTCCACCTAAAAAGCATGCAGAAATCTGCTTTTTGATCTCAAAAATCGATGATATTATGAGAGACATGAATTCGAGACTTTGTTATCAAAATACTCTAAACCATCTGTTCTTTGAAATCAAAACTAAGCTAAATCTTGATTTGGGTGACAATACAGAGTCCTCTTATCAGTTCATTCCAATATGTACACGGCGCCAATCAGATTCAATGACTGCCTTTCTCTACGGCTATCGAAGTTTCATTGAAAAGTCAAGAAAATATTTTGCGGATGCTGTAATCGATATCACAGAAGGTCGTCTCAACTATTTGACTCGAGTGCTGCACGCTATGTTTGATTGTGATGACTACCGACGAGCAGTCGAACAGGCAGATAAGTTGTACACGCTGTTTAAAAGTGGTGTTCACAATTTGGAAAACGAAATTAAATGTGAACTCAAAGAAGTTTTCGATATTATGTGCGCAATTATTCAAGCTAATCTCATGGATCTTGAAGCAAAGGCGTTTGTCGCAATAAACGATGCAACACGAAAAGCTGAGATCAATCGGACGGTTAGAGCAATGCTGATGGATCAATTCAAAAGAGAAATAGAAAACAATGAAAATGAAATCAGAAAACGTTTGGCTCGCTGTGTAGCAAAGTTCTTTTCAAATATGGATATGAATCCAAGACATATACAATTATTGGAGGAAGTCCACCAAAAACTAATCACGAGCAATCCCTACAGTGTAGCACTCGGTCAATATGATGCTCGTTTTGGTCAATTATGCGCAGCAACAGTAGAGAATGTAGCAAGGTCCTACAGTGATAAATCATCAACATTTGAATTAAGACTTCGTAAAATGGGTTTTTACGCTTATATGTCATTAGCCATCCTGGTGGATCCTAAGCAGGCAGTTTTGATAAAAATGGAAGATCTCGTTGAAAAAGGCGCTTCGGATACGTGTGAATATTTGAAAGAGATGCTGATGGCTGAGGTTATGGAAAAAATTCGATCTCGCATTTATTCTATACTAATGAAGTTCGAAAAAAATCCATTTTACTACAAAATTCAACATGCAAGAGAGGTATCGAATTATCTGTCCATAAATAAACATGAAGTGACACGTGTATACTTGAATATTCTGGATAAAAAGTTTCGTCTTACATATCCTGAATGTAATGTTGGAAATGCAGAACTTGATAGAAGTAACTCTCCAGTCTACATGGGATACTTAAAGCATAATGGAGAGAACAAAAATATCGCTGCTAAAGTAATATCTCTAGACGACTTCAATTTGCAAGAAGTTCGATACATTGATGAATTAAGCCATGAAAATATTCCGCATTACTATGGTGTCAGAAAGAAAGATGATAATGCTGATCATTATGAGATAATCATGGAGAGACTCGACTCCAATCTAAAAGAATATTTGAAATGGAAGAAAGCAAAAAAGGAACTTAGTGACAGAGATATCAACTTCATTCTATTACAAGTTGTCCAAGGTCTTGCTTACATGCATAAGTCGGGTTTTTTTCATCGCGATATCAAGCCACATAACATACTTGTCAAAATGAATGAACCCTTACCTCCACGTTGTCTCATTGCAGACTTTGGCTTTATTCATCGAGTGCCTAATTCTGTAAGAGGTACATTAAATTACCTCGCCCCGGAACTTCTGGAGGCTAACACAGATAATAAACCGTTCATAACAATGAAAACAGACGTATATGCTTTAGGTGTCACAATCCGTGATATTATAAATACTTCACATATTCGAAAACAGGAACAATTTATTACCTTTTGGACCGGTATATACAAACAATGTTTACAGAAAGAGCCTGCAGATCGACCATCATGTAGCGATATTATTGAGCAACACCATCGCTTAACGGCTTGTTAAAGCGTGACGCTCTGATATTTTTGACATCCTTTTTGTCGATAGTCTCGATAACCATAAGTTGTGCGCTAAAAAATTCGCATTTACCCGCTAAACATTGTCCAAAATTATTCGAGATTTATATCAATATTTTTATCAATAAAGTCGATTTTTTCATCGTCATTGCGAAAGAAGAAGAGTGAATGTGTATCATGTTCGATTTTTAATCGAGCACAAATCGATTATAATAAAAAAGTAATCAAATGAGCTCCACATCGCATCGATTATTTCGACTATGGTCAATTAAGACTTCATTAAATTATCGATTTTCATTGGCTTTCTTACAGAATAAATCCCAGGTCTTTAATAGGTTTTCTGGGAGTTGCATTAATCATAATCGATTATTTTTCTGGTGAATTTTTAATTGATTATAATCGAAAGTAATCCAAATCATCGATGAAATTTGAGGCCTATTCGATTATTTTGATTATTATAGATTTTAATATGATTATTTCCTTAATTCTTCTTATGTGAGTGTAATTCCAACCAAATTCAATTAAGCATACAACTAATTTATATCCAAATATTCGCCATAAATGCTCCGTAAGTCTCCTTAAGTTCATGTACGTCTATCAAAACATTTCATTGGATCAATATAGATTTTTCACTAAGATTTGTCAAAAAAACATGCCACCAACAAGAATTGTGACATTCCTGTGCTTCTGAACTAACATCGAGGAAAAAAACATGAATACATCTTATACAACTTGAGCTGCTCTAATAATCTGCTGAAGCCGATAGCTCCGTTCATTCCGACTCCTATATTGATTTTTTCGTGATACTATTGGTCACAAGCACTTGAAATAATCAGTTGGAAAATTTCAAAATCAATCGAGAGTTTGTACTCACTCTGATGCAGTTTTCATGAGAAGTCCGAATATGATATTGGTTTTAAGATTTTACTTAAAATTCGTATATTCATGAAACACCTGCCTAAATTTCTACTGTATTTTTTTAAGGAAAGCTTAAAGTTTTAATTTTTCCTATACGAAAATTTTAAATATTCCTGAATATATTGTATCAACTTTATTACTGTTATCTTTCAAAAATACAAAGATTGAACTAGAAATTTGAGCATGGCTTTGTTTTAGATGGATGACATTTAGTACCACGCTGCATTTTTGCAGCTCGACAACGACATTTCTTTGTTGAACACTCGCCATTACAATAACGTGCTTCAGTAGGAGTAATTAATCCTGCGTGGACATAATCTCTACAGGCTTGAATAAATGTCATTGTTGGTAAAGTTGTTGGATTGACATCACGTTAATCCCGAAAGTTACAGTTGGATAAATTTAAGAGATCTAGTGCATGGAACCGTGATGGAATTACAGCTGTTGTTGTACATAATTTATAAGTGTCCATATCTTTGAATGCTGACTGAACCGATATTATCTTACATGGTAGTACTTTAGGTGTAACAGTTGTTCTGTCTACTTTATCGATTTTCAAACCGACTATACCACCAATTTTGTATTCGTTTTTACGTAAGCTGCGCGTAATTCAAAATTATAGCACATCTTATTTTTTGCTTAAATATATATCAATAGATTCGGTGTTTCAAGCTGATCACGAATATCTACTTACTTTTTCGATTCGAGAAAATCTTCATGGAGAAAACGGCAAAAAACTGAGAGGGTGTA